TTGGTGAAAAATCGAAGTTTTTGTTCCACTGCCAAATGGACCCTCTAAAATTCTGAGGAGCTAGATTCTTAGGTGCTTCCCCTTTGAACCACGGAGACCTCAAAGTTTCGACCGAATATTTAAATTTTTAAAGTTTTTGAATTGAGTGTATAGATTTAAAAATAATTATATTTTTTGTGGGACAAACGAATTAAATTCAGTTGAATTATCCATGCATGAAATAAAATAAATTATCTAAGGGATGACAGCGAGAAAAAATCGACAAGAAAGTATTATGCGTTACAGAACTTGTGAGGCACCCTGTATTGCCAGAGTTAGGTGAGACCAAATTTGTATTACATTACCAAACAAGCTAAATTTTTTCGTTAATTTGCCTCATCGCAATACTATACGTATGAATGAATCGAATGACGTATGAATATCCATAAATAAACTGAGTATTTACACGCGTTCGATTGAAACAAGTCCATTACTCCCCTCCCAGCGTCCAGGTTACTACCGTAAAAACCACATACTTATGTTGGATTTTCGTTGAAGTTAAGTGCGTTACAAAACACGGCGAATTACTCTCGTTTATGAAATTTGTTCATGTTCCGAGTACTGGTGCCTTTGAGGAGCAGGAGCAAGTTCGTATAACTTGAGAAACATTTAACTGACCGAGATTTCAATCATCTGCCGGCAGAATTAGAATGGATTCGCCGACGCCGGATTAAAACCGGGTTGACAGGTTTCTTCGAAATAATGTCATTTTCTTAAGCTGAGAGATGTGTAAAACGGAATATTCCTGGATGATTTGTCGACGTTTGCATGTTTTTAAAGTTGCTGAATGCTCGGGAATCCAATGATCCAGGCGAATTTTATTTTAGGAAAGACAAGGTAATAATTTCTGCAGGCAGATTTTGCAATATGTGTAGAAGTATCTCTTAGAAAAACAAAAATATAGGTTCATAGTATTATGAAACGTAAGTCATTGTTTTCAAGCAGTCGGTCTGGTATGGACATGTGCGAAGGATGGCAGACGATCGGTTGCCCAAGCAGGTTTTCGATTGGGTTCCTCCCGGAAGGCGACGGCGTGGACGTCCTGTGAAAGGTTGGCGACAAGGGGTGGAGGAGGAGATCAAAAGGTGCCAATGGGCCTGTTGCATGCAAGAGATACAGCCGCGCGAATAGACTTTTTAGAGGTTATATGACACGAAAATTACGATGGTCATATTAAAAAAGGCCCATTGCCTGATGATCTCTGGGAGGATAGGGGGCAATGGCGATTGATCGTCGCAGAGCGCGAGGCTGCGCTATAAAAGCGGCTTTATGTATGTAAGTCATTGTTTTCAAAAGAGGTTTTGGAATGGAGTTTGCTTGCACTTCAAATCACTTCTCCTCAAGATCACCAAAAGTTTTAATGTGCGTGCATTCTGGGTCCGTGACATCATCTTTCATTTTTATAATTGGACATATTTCTGCCGAACGGAACCATGTGCATTGAGGCATGAGCCCTGAGACCCATAAGAATGTATGCATAACACGGCTCACGTCATAATCTACATATTTTCGTTTGACAGAAATACGTCCAATTGAGCTTACTTCTAGAGAAAACTGAGACATTTTTTGACGTTATGTAATGCTGCTGGGGTTGAAGAGAATCATTCATAAGTTGACAACAAAAACGTGACACTTAAGGATATAAAAAAAATCCCCGCGGAACGATTCAAAATATTTAAAAGAAAATAGATATTAAGAAGGAGCGATAAGGTTTGAAGATGGTGGACATCTATGCCATGCATAATGGACATGCAATAAGAATTTCACAATCTGCAAGCAGGACCGCCGCAGGACTCCATTTTATGAAGGCTTTCTTTCAAATAATACCTCCATTTGCTATGCTGAATGTGGAAACTGCGTTCATTGCTACTTGAATGAGAAAACAGGATTAAGCGCATAAAATGACGAGCTCAAGCACGGTTCCTAATTTGAAAATATTTTTTCGAGATCAAAAATGATGAGAAACAAACATGGTTCTCGCAGGTGCCATTGTTCACATTGTAGTGTTAATTGTCTCAGAAATTGAGTATTGTCCAGCAGTAAGTGCTTGGCAGCCAAAAAAAGGCAAAGGACTTCAAAAAGGAGTAAATCTCCTTTCTCGCCCGAAGTTTTTGCAGGAAAATTAAATTTAAATATTTTTTCACTTTCGGATGCCCACTGCCCACCTAACGGAAAATTTTAAGCCACTTATCTTTCATCCCCTCATAAAAATTTTGGCTATGCAACTATCAGCGAGAGGTGGAGGGTGAGCCACGAGGTAAATGTAATATTACTTTTTGATATAAACGGATTAAAAACTATCGTGAAAATACTCCTTATTAAAATCCAATTCAAGATAATCAATTATTATGTACATATGGTCAGGGCCGGATTAAGGGGGTGGCCACATGGGCCGCGGCCCATGGCGGCAAATCAAGGGGGCGACAAATTTTGCAATTTTTTTTTAAAAAAATCGAATTTTGAAAAAAAAAATACAAACGAGAAAAGGCGACAAAATCTCTCATTTCCTGAGAGTATAGTAATTTTTAATTTTGTTGTCTTTCAGTGATACAAGAGACAACACCTTTAAGCAGTCGAGTTTAGAGAGACACCAAACACGCAATTTGGCCTGGAACGGCGCGACTTAGAGAGAAATAATGACGAGGACTTAAGATGAAAAGGAGAAGCCCTCGGCGCGGCGGTCGGCATGTAACACATATTAGCGCCTACATAACTGCACGAATACTTCACGTCTTGCATCAAACACAGTGCGGTCACTGCGGTCAGCGTGAAACGGATAGCGCCTACAAGAATGCATGAATACTTCACGCATTACGCCAAAGACAGTGCGGTCAGCGAGAAACGTTTAGCGCCTACAAGACTGCGTGAATACTTCACGCATTGCGTCAAAGACGGTGCAGTCTGCGTGGCGCGGCGGCGGAAATTAAAATCATTAAACTACATCTATATTTGTTCTTTCATAATTTGTTCGTTCATTTCTTATGAATGGAAGGCCTTGTCCACACAGAGATAGGTCTACGGAACTTAACTTTCGCGCAAAGTTCCGTGAGCTTTTGCTAGTAGTGTTAACAGGGCTTTCCCAAAAAATATGTCTAACACGAGTATACGATTCTTATGCATTCCTCCCCCGCTGGCACGCTTACTTGATGGTATTTATTGGTATTTTAAAACGAATGAGAAGGGGGCGGCAAAATATACAGGCGGCCCATGGGCGGCAAGTACGTAAATCCGGCCCTGTCTGCGTTTTGTAATGAGGAACTACTTTTCCAAGCTCATCCATGAAATCACATACCTGCATCGTGGAAATAATGGCGCCTACATTGTTTCTTAAATGAGGCAGAATTGGCAGCTCCTTCTTGCAAAACGTATACATTAAAGTATACCTCGAAATAGGAAAACTTGCACTTATCCGTCTTGGCCTCCAAGTCCCTGATATGAGCATTAATATTTTCACATTGTCATTGGACCGCGTTAAACAGAGAGGAACCAACCACACCAGCCTTTGCCAAATTTAATTGGGAAATTTAATTTTTTCCATGAAAACAGTTGTACTGATTTTCGTGCAAATTTTAGTGAATTTTCTCCATATTACAAAGCAAATTCCTTGAAATTTCAACAGAGTCCAGACAAACAATCTCTCGTAAAAAAAAAATAAATAAATTGGCCAGTTGAATTTGGCTATACGTGAATTGAACCAGTTGCGTATTTTGAAAAAGAACCATCTTGGGTCTCTACAGAATTGAGTTTTTTTGTTCTATTTTTTTAAAGAGAAACGTCACTTTCTCGACTCAAGACGATTTTTTTCTCTTTTTTTCTAAGATTGGCCTCTTTTCAAAATAAACAATTTACCCTAGGCACGTGTTTTTCTAACCTTACGCGCCTTGTCCTCCAAACCCCTCTTCTACGATCATCGCGAGAGACGCGGGAAGCGACCCCTCGCGTGACGGGTGGCGTGTTCTGCCGGAAGGAAGAACGCCGTATGAGCCATCATACGTTGCCAAGTTTCCTCCGATAAAAACCGAATTTACTAGGAAAATTGTGATTAGTTTCTCGCAAAATTTTCCGACAATTATGTCCGCAATTTAATCTAAAATATTTGACAATTTAAAAGAAAAATGTGCATGAATGTTGGCGAAAATACATGTTTCACACTGAAAAAAAAATCTCGGTGTTTTTACCAAGAAAATGGTAAAATTACCAAGAATTCGGGGTTCTATTTGATCCCAGTTTTTTCTTGGTAAAATTACCATTTATGGAATTGGTAGGTAATTTTACCGAGAAATCTCGGTAAAATTATTGAATTTCTCGGTAATTTTACTGGACCCCGGTAAAAACGCCAATATTTTTTATCAACTGTGGTAGAATTACCGAGATAAAATGGCAAAGCTACCGCGGAATTGATTACCAATAAAAGTGGTATTCTTACCTGAAAAAAAAACAGTAAAAATACCGGTTTTTAGATATGCTTACCAGTCTATCTTGGTAAAATTACCAATAATTGGTAAAAAAAAGTGAGATGGTAAAGGTACCGACGGACCGTGGTAAAAACGCCAAGAATTTTTTTTCAGTGCATCAAGGGAAATTCGGCGACTCTCAGATGTTCATAGGGCGTTCTTCCTTAGCACGGCAGTGTTCTACGGCGACGGCACGCAAGACGGCACACGAAAAAGAACTGGAATCAACAAACTTTTGAGCGGGAGCTTTCAGTGTCAGCGGGTCAAGTTTGGAGGGCGCTGGAGATCGGCCCCGGCGCGGAGCGCGGCGGCGGCGCTGCTATTATGCAACTGGGCGGCATGCCGAGATTCAAGTAATGCTGCAATGGTGAGCGGTGAGCGGCAACTACAACACCGTTGCCAAAACCTCGATTTCTCGTTGGTTTGTTAGTCCGCGTTTCGGTGCGAAACGGCAACCCCGGAGGGAATGTGGGATCAAGTTAAGCTTACGTTGGTAACCAGAGTGTTGGTTTGCCGAGTGGCTTTTCTTACTTGGATTAGTCACCGTAAACTCTTCCTCCCGAGATGACTTCCAATTTGCGTTTCGTTATCGCCTGCGGTTTTATAGGCCTGGCATCCTCCCTTAAGCTCCGTGAGTACTTTTCACTTATTTTTGCCCGTTGATCTGGGCGCTAAGATCATTTTCTGGGAGGGTTACCGTGGGACTTACCAGGATTTAGCACGGTGCGCAAAAAAAAAGATACTTAGGTGCGTAACACATCTGAGGAGGTAAGAACCAGAGGGGCTTGGTTGCACTTTGCATTGTTAGGTTGGACTTTTTTTAACTTTTTCATCATTTACACAAAGCTCTTCGTGAGTTATTTTGCATTTACTTTCTTGGCCGTTGACCTGGGCGCAAAGGTGTAAAATAAGGTGTTTAAATAGATAATTTTCTGGAAGAGTTATCATGCGACTTACCAGGATTACGGAACAGGACGGTGCGCAAAAAAAAGATACTCAGGTGCGTAACACATTTGAGAAGGTAAGAAGCAGAGGGGCTTAGTTGTACTTTGCATTGTCAGGTTGGACTTTTTTAAACTTTTTCATCCTTTACACAAAGCGGCTGCAATTTTTTTTCCTGGAAAATTCGTGCAAATTTCTTGGAGTTCTGGCGAAAATTTTCTGGCATTATCCCTTAAACTTCGTGAGTTATTTTGCATTTACTTTCTTGGCCATTGACTTGGGCGCAAAGGTGCAAAATTAGGTGTTTAGATGAATAATTCTCTGGAAGAGTTACCGTGGGACTTCCCAGGATTACCTACGGAATGGCAAAATGCGCGAAAAAACGATACTGAAGAGCGTAATGTATTTGAAACGGTAAGAGCCAGAAGAGCTTAATTGCATTGTGAGGTTGAAATTTTTCTAAACTATTCGTACATTTGAACAAATTGGTTGCGATTTTTTTTTTTTTTGCAAATTTTTGCCAATTTACTTCAGAGAGTGCGTTAGAGAGGGGCAGTTATTTTTTAAATTTTTATCCATTTTCACCAAAAAAATCTTTGGAGCTGCAGTTTTTCTTTGAAAATTTCCGTGGATTTCTTTGAGATCTGACGGAGATTTCCTGAAAATCTGGAGGTGAAAATGCCTCAATCTATGCTTAAAAAACATAAGTTGTCAAAAGGAAAATTTTGAAACGCTGCAGTGCAATAAGCCTTTCTGGCTTTAACCTTCTCAATTGAAGATTCTTAGTCCGAACTGGTTTTCGTGGAAGTCCCTCACAATATGTAATGTCTCAGAAATTACGTGCATTTTCCGATCTGTGCTGAACACATTAATGTATGTGGATTTACATATTCAAACCATTAATTAAAAAACGTGTGAATGAAGGGAACGTGAATGGCCACTGAAAACATTTACATTGAATTATCTACTTATACCTTTTTTGTGTTAAAAGAAGTGTTAATTGGTTTTAAGAATAATCTCTCCTCATTACGAAATGAAGTCCAAAAGTTCATAACGTCTGTTGGACAATTGAAAGGGGCAACTGTGTGCTCGGAAGGGATCAGAAATCAAATAAAAAGGGGGTAAGAATAAGGAATACGGTATCGCGAAACCGTAAGTATGTTTGACGTGATAAATTGGAGAAACCCAAGACACTAAAATGAACAATGAAATGGTCAATAAATTGGGAATCATCGAGAGACTTTAACGCGCGGCAAGAAAATAATAACTCATACTATACGTTATTTTTGTTGACCCTCGTAGTGACGGAATAGTGCTTACTCTGAGCGAAAATTGTTTTGAAATATGAACTTAGGTTTAGATTTTCTGTGAGATTTCACGTAGACGACCGTATACAAAAATCTACTCTTTTTACGAAGTGACTTACACATTTATGAGAGCAGAATCTACTCTTTTGGTGTGTGAAATGTCACTCACTCTCATGGGGTGAATGTAACTTCGCATTCGTGTTACTCGGGTTTTTTGGGATCTATAAAGTCTCTAGAGTGAGATATGCATCGAATTTCACTTCGAACTTTGTTAAATTGTATACATACATATAAGTCACTTTTACAGCGCGCCCGGACGCTCTGCGACACCTAAACGCCATCTTTGTGCATCGACCCAAAGGTCATCTGGTTAGTTGCACTTTGTAATTTAATCTTGAATGCCACCCATCCACGTTTTCGCAGGGCGTCGCATACGTCTCCTCCCAGGGGGAACCCAATTTAGCACCTCCCTAGGCAAACTGTCTGTCAAATTTTACATTTTCCGTAGTGAAGTTAATATTCCTTGTAATCGGTCCAGAAAAAGTCATATGAGTGTTTCTCCAGATGATTTTCTGTTACTTTGAGTTAATATTTCAATTTGCCGTAAGATTCCACGTACACGTTGATGACTGAAAGAGTTTTAGTCCGTTGAATTTTACATTTTCCTTACTGCATTTAATATACCATAAGAAATGACCGTACTTTAAAGGAATTCAAGTTAATTTATTTTTAAGCGTCTTAATCAGTAAATGTTTTGATGACTTTTCGAATATTCATCCAAAGACCGGAGGGCTGATTATTGAAATTGATAAAAAAAGCGATGGACATAGAAGACGAATGAAGTATAGAGCGTTCCGATTGGTTGAAATGGGTAGATTAAGGGAGGAAATGGTGGATTAATTGTAGGGTCTCTTGTCAGCTGACATTGGTTAGTCTAGTATTCACCTTTTTCTATTGCAACCACCCACTTTCACCAATTGGATGGCCCCACCATGCCTCTATCTTTTTTGTCTATCAATATCAATAATCAGCCCGCAGTCTTGTGCAAAGATTCTCATTGAGTTAAGATTGCAGTTCAGTTACAATGCTTGACTGTTTGTACATGGAGATGTGAGTACCTTGTGATTAATTTTCTATTACAGCGCGCGCAAGATTGTACACTGCATTTGAATGACAACAAAGCCTCAAACAGTGAACGCGTCTCTTTAATTTCCGCCACAAGTGCGCCGCTCGTTACATGTTAATCCAGTGAGGTGTGAGATAAAGGTTGTCAGATTTGGCTCTCTCTCCCCCATCCTTTGTCGGTAGGAACACAGCCGAACTTACGATTTGAGCTTACAGCTCATTTGGTAAAATAATGTAGGAAACGATCGGTTTTGAAAAATGAACTCGGCATTTAAATCTGGATTGCAAAAAAATGGGCCATCGTGTTAGCACGGTCTAATTTTGTGACCTTGACCCCTTACCGTCCACTCGCCTTAGCCGGTTGCATTCCTAAGTGCAACAAAGTTATTTTTCAACTATATTTGATCCTCTGCTGTATTGACCGTGAGATTACAAAAGGAGTATTTTCCTCACGTTATTTCATAATGCCCACACAAATTTTATTTCATCACGAAATCTAACCAAACGTACCAAGCAGTCGAAATTTTCCAAGAATATCCTTCACGCTTTGAAAATGAAAAACGGAAAAGTTTTTAAGAAATGACGTGGAGCATCTTTCTCCTAATTTCCTAGAACAAATTAAAGACAGAGAATTTCATAATTCCTGTTCTTCTAGATAGTAGGTTACCTGACGTTATTTTGTTTAATTGTACTTTTGTAAATTAGTGTAAGTAATTTAATTTCATTCATGCAGGTAGACACAAGGCAATTTGTTATTGTATAGTATACCACAGGTGGTTTTAAATCAAATTTGTTCCTATTGAAAAAGAATGTTTCTATTCAAAAAGTAATATATGACATAAAGTCTGCGTAGCGTCCCAAACCGAATTGCGAGTTTTTGAAGTTTTGCCATCGATGTGTAAAACATTATTTTAAAAGTTAAATTCATTGATGATTAAATTATTGCAGGGAAATAATCATTTCAAGTTCACTCTTTGCAATGTATTAAATGAGAGAAACAAATAATAGAAGCTTTAATTATGCAGTTTAGCGGTAGGTTTGACACGAGGGCACATTTGCACCTATTATTTGGACGAAGTTGCGGAATAGGGTAGTATCTCATTCAACACAAGCTCCGTTATTCAAAATCTACCGCGGGTCGATTGTTAAATCGTTATCGAATAAATTCGACCGACATAGTCCTATCTTAGTAATGCTATTTATCGATTGAATTCATTCGAGAACGATTCAACAACCCCGGCGCTGCAGACTTTAGGGCTCGCGCTGAAATGCAAATATGCTCCTATGGAACTATATTGTTCATTTTACGAGCCTACCTCGTGTAAACCAATAACATGTCAACCGAGGGAGGGAGGATTTCAAAGCTTGCATCAATGGTTCGCAAGGGGGTCCCTCTCAAATCAACCGCAGATCCAATTAAATTCATCGATGAAGTTTACGTGCACATTTCGCCTTTCTCCTCAAGAGGGACGTAACTGCATTTCGATGTTGCCAAATTTCTCCTCCTGAATTCCATTTTCACCAGGAGGAACTTGGACGTTTTAACTGAAAATTTCACTGATTTTTCTTCTGATCTTATGCAAGCATAAGAAAAACTCTCACACAAAAATTGCACTGGTATACTCTTGTAAAAAATTGAATTATTTTAATCAATTTTGCAACCTTGGAATGGAGTTACATTCCTTCATCTGGGAAACGACGATTTCCCTGGTAAACATTGGCAGTAGAATCTGTGTTCCAAAATACCATAGACCTACAGCCGGCTGTAAGATTTCCAATAGCTTCTGTAGCCGGCTACACAATTTCTTGTAGCCTTCTATAGCCGATGGCGATTAAGCAACAGCCACGCGATAAAGTGTATGCTAAACGTTACTTATTACGGATGCTAGGACTTAGTGAGTTTTTGGAATACTGCTCTCTTTTTGGGCCGTAGCATCTTGATTTATTTTACGAGGAAAGCTTCGTACTTTTTGATGGATGCCTGCCATTACTAATATATTAGAGCGCCTTCAGTTTCATATGATACTGTGCAATACCTCTGGTGGTGAAATAGTTGCTTCAAGCGCCGTGGCACGCTGCGGAGCGGCAGGCGGGCAGCCAGCGCGAAACACGCATTGGCGCCTACAAACCTAACAGGGATACTTCACGCGTTGCGCAATGCGTGAAGTATCCCTGTTAGGTTTGTAGGCGCCAGTGCGTCGCCGCTCCGCTTTGTGTTAGGCTCTAATATTTAATCTGGCGGAGTCAGCGTTATTCA